GTGGAAATGAGAAACATGGATGAATGAATTGAATCACGTTTCAAGTAACCGAAATTTTCATAAAAATCTTGGACTTTCACATAATTGAATCATCTTGGATTTAAATGGCAAGAAATTACGTTAATCTCATTTGGCGAATCATTGAGCTTGAAAGATTACGATACAAGTTAAGGTTCGGTGGAACTGTACGCAGTTGGTAGCCATGCGATGCGTTAAACATGCAATAAAGGGTTATTTGCGCATGATATAAAAAAATTCTACCAATAATTTTAATTTAATCATTATATGATAATAAAGTATGAAACACAAGCGTCACATATTGAGCCTACGATTATTTTGTACCATATTCTTGAATTGAACCAAACCTGTCGCAGCCGAAATGGCGCCATTTCTTCCGAACTAAACATGAACGAATCAACGTTAGTTTTCTTTGCCACCTGAGACTTAAGTATTCGTATACGAGAAAAATCAGATTTGACTTTGTTTAATGGATGATTTCTTCTTTATTTGACTGTGAATGACAAACCTTATAAGCCAAGTGATTTGTCCTCAACCATTACAGAGATATGACGTCACACCAGTACATTTACCTACACATATCCATATGTTTGAACAGTAGCTAAACGCACAGTAGCTACAGTTATTTCACCTATAATATATGTTCAAGCAAAATTACGACAATTTTACCAGAAAGACATTTACTGAAACAATGTTTATGTATTTTAAGTTTCATATTATCAGCATCGTGCCTCCCGTTCGAGTCAAAAGAGAAACTTTTCTCTGCCCAATTCAAACAACCATAGACATAAATAAATGATAAAAATTGCTCATAAATAATTGCATTTTGATAAAGTTATATCGTAGTTGATGAATTTTGAATATTATCTCATAAGTTTCGAATATTGTATGTTTTGTTTGATAGATGTTCTTGTTACCATAGCCAGTGTTAAATTTGAGCTTGTCGTGGGAGGTGTGATGCGGCCGCTTCTTTAAAATAGGAGTGGAAAATGGTGAATTATATGGCAAAAACATCACTAATTAGTCATTTTGAGGGTGTGCCACTTGTGTCATTTATTTTAAGCTAGAGAATTTGCAATAATATTGATCTATTCAGAGGTTATGAATATCCAAAGTCATGAAGTGACGAGTTTTGTTCTGTGTCGGAGCATCACGTGGCGTTGCCGGTGTTCCTGTTGTAGAATTTGTCAGGTCTGTGTTCATTTTATGGAAGGGGTAGAGGTGTTTTAATTTGTGTACTGTGTCCTGCGATCGGCTGTGTCCAGTGTTTTGAATACTTTGCCTCAATCATGAGCGCATTAGGATAGATGTCCTGAAAATTAATATTTTATTCATATTACATTCATCAACTGCAATTTATTTTCGCTCCGTGAAGCGTAGGTACGTTCGGTACGTTCCCAGCTGATGCCGAAGATCCGATGGCATCATCGCGTCAGCCGAAACCGAAAGTTTATCACTGCGCCATCGGTCGGATAATAATGATGCCCCATCGTTTCGATTGGTAATGTGACTACATTAAACTGAAATTCTGGTCAACATGGATCGTCTCTGTCTTAAACATGGATCGTCTTAAAATAAATCGAACATGTTAACACCAGAAAATATCGATAAATCCTTACAGTTAATTCAACTTATTTCAAGAACCTTATCAACGTATTAACCCTACAGTGGTCGCGTGGCTTAACATGTGTAATCCAGACCTGCGAAAATCAATCTTAATGAAACCGAACAGAAGAGAAATATGACCAATTTGGTCGGTTTTTGCACGTGACCACTGCAAAGTTGCTAAATGCTTGCCTAGCCTACTTGCTATCTGCTAAAGTGCTAAGCAGTAGGCTAAGCATGACTGCATGAGGTAACGACTTATGACTCTTGACATACGGAAAGCCACAGAGATTGCTGAAAATCAGCCATTTTTCTATGAATTGTAGATTTGTAGGAGTATAACCACTAGCAAGTTCCTAACTTCCTAGTAGTATTAACATTAAATTTCAAACTTTATGCTTAGTATGCTATAAAATGAAAACATTTCCTTTCATTTGAATATTCATTGGCTAGTAAGGTTAGGAGATTCTTACTCATTCTCTTTCACTCTTTGTTATTGTTGACGATTGATTGTAGCTTCATTGCCATTAACAATTTGACAAATTTGTCAGACATAAATGCAATCCTAATAGGAAAATTGGGCAGAAATAATTTGTGAATTATATAATAATTCTCATGTTCATGAACACTTTTATAATTTCCAATGACACCTGCTTAATTTCTGTAAATTAGATAAATGGCACATTCTTTAATATATTTTGAAAGATTGGTGAAACTAATAATTGTTTTTACTTGTGGTTTATTGAATATTTTCCTTTATATTATCCAAATGGGACTTAGACTAGCCTTGGGAGCTTAACAAAAATATTTTTGGCTTGAAGTTTTTGTCAGTGACACGTATTGGATTGCAGATTTCCAATTTTCCTGGCACACACATCTAAAGGGAAAATCTGGCAGAAGCCACTTTTGAATGAGACAGAAACTTGTGTTCATGATAAATTTAATCGATTTTGATTGCTTTTAAAGGGTATTATTGCAGATTAACTACATCCAAAAAAAAGGGTGTTTTTTTTTTTAATTATATGTTTTTTGGGGTGTAGATTACGAATCTGAAATCCATTTTTGGTGGTCGGCATCGGAAAACCGATTTTTTTCCGACCCAAAAATCGCGCTAAAAATGCCTAAAATCTGCGAAATCGGCGAAAAATCGCATCTTGAATGAAACTTACCCGTTGCACTGCAACGGGTAAAGAAGACGAAAATGTTACCCGTTGCACTGCAACGGGTAACATTTTCGTCTTCTTTGTCCATAAATCTGGAGATACATTGCCACATCGAGAGATCACAACCTAACGCCAACTCGCAGGTTGGGTTGGTTCGCCCAGTAAGTTACGTAACCCCCATGTTAGTAAGTCGCGAAAAAAATCGGTTTTCCGATGCCGACCGCCAAAAATGGATTTCAGATTCGTAATCTACACCCCAAAAAACATATAATTAAAAAAAAAAAACACCCTTTTTTTTGGATGTAGTTAATCTGCAATAATACCCTTTTAAAGAATTTAATTATTAAAAATTACACAGAACCGCAATTTCACATCTGAATTATATAGAAAGACTTTGTATTTTGTGTAGATAACACTGAAACATGAACAATGCTGATTTTTAAAAATTATCTGACAGCATGATTAAAAATGAAAATAAACTATTTCAAAGCTGAAAATAAACTTTTAAATTGTATTAACAGCTTTGCCAGCAATTTCTGACAATCTGCCATTTGATGATTGTTTCACCACAATTTTTACGAATTCCTGCCCAATATTCCAGATTGGGATACATGGATATGCTAGCCATAAAATTTTGTGTTAAACCAAAAAATATATATGCTTCTACTTGACTTGGATTTGTAAAAGACCAGAAAAAAAAACAAGTTTACTCCATCTATGCTTAGCTATGAATAGAATTTTTGGAACACATGAGAAGTTATCTATAATTCATATTGGATTTGAAAGCCTGAAGGCAATAGCTGGACCATATCAATATTATGCATAACCTGGAATTCTTGCAGAAATTGCATAAAGTTGCAAGGTGACACGATTGTTTCAATCTCACAAGTGATTTTTGCCAATGACAGGCATAAAATGTGCCATTTCTCTTAACTTTTTCTACAGAAATTAGTTGATAGCCACTGGAACTAGGAATGTGTTAAGTTAATTGCTATTCGTAAGTATGGGTGGCTTCCATTTCCCAGAAGCCACATGTGGGGCTTGGGGATTCCCACTAGGAGATTCTGCAACCCCACCTCCTAGTGCTGCTACAGTGAGAAATTATAAACTTTAGAAATTTTATCATCCCGCTATTGACCATCTCAATCTTAATATACATTGAACCAAGATTCAAAAACTCTTTCTGCTGAAATGGCACAAATCCAAAAACATAATTTTTATGAAATGGCAGACTTTGGTGCAGCCATTTTTATCTTTATTTCCTTACATATCTTTACACATAACTAAAGAGAGAATTGTGGAAATAATATACAGAAAGTCTATCTTGAACCATATATATAATATACATAAATGGGAGATGCATCATTGCTAGTGAATGTCATAACTCATAGACTGCCTGAATTTTGTTGCATGATGTTGTTCCAGTCTTTGTCAATTTTATAGTTTCTCATTCATGCAAGTTTTAGTAAATAAAAGGAGTCAGAGTTACTGAAGTCATGGTTTTGTACTAAGAAGAATATCACCTGACAACTTAAGAGCTGCGTGGTGCAGTGGTGAGAGACTCCGTCTCTCGCACCCAGCTCCCGGGTTCGAGTCCCACTGAGGACAAGTTCTTCCGGGAAGCTCAGCTCATGGCTAACTCAGCCATTCATCCAACTCTGGTTGATAAATGAGTACCTGGCTTGTCCAGGGTGTTGTGTAATGCTAAAATGGTTCTGGCGGGTCAGCGAGCCAGTGATGGTCGTGGAACTACCAGTGGCACCAAGTGCCCGGAAAAACTGACCTATCACCCCCTCCCTTACCTAGTTGCCACTACCAGGATGGGCAATTACAACAACAACACCTGACAACTTCACTGTGTTCTCAAACACTAATGACTCAATGACATGTTTTGAATGAGTGAAATATATTGTGATTCCTATGTGTTTTGCTATATTTTTCAATTTAGAAGTCATCTTGTTGGTCTAAATCTAGACTTTAATGTAACTCTACACTGGGACTTGAGAGTTAGTGGGTATTGCTGAAAAGCAACTGGGCGATGAATTTTGTGACTTTGAAAGATTTGCACTACTTCTGGCAATTGTACTCTAATATCCTGTGCAAATATAAGATTATTGGTTTGTTATCATTTTGTTATTTGGTCAACTATTTTGTTATAGATTATAAATGTGTGGTGATTTATTATGCTAAATTAAAGTTTTCTTTTTGTTCCAGCTTGGTATGTTTAAAGGTGGTTACTAAGATGAACAAAACTCATGAGCAATGAACTTTATTGTACCTAATTTATATTTATAGGAAATGATGAAAATTTATTAAGACTTGTGAATATAATGTTTTGTGCTTGTTTGATCATATTATGTGCCTCATGATGCCAAATGTTCATTGTGTATAGGATGTGTGTAGTTATGTGGTAAATGATGTGGTTTTGTGTTGAAGCAGAGGACTTCAGCGCGAGCAACCACAGCTCCTGCCAAGAGTTCTGTGCTGGCCCTAACACATCGTTTTGGTGCCAGCCTCTGGTGCCTCAGTCCTGGGCAACTAATTTGTGTCCCCTTGAGATACCTGCTGCTAGGGACATCTTGGCACAAGACCTTTGGGTCAGGCCACCTGTAGGCCCTGCAAGACGCACTCTGCAGCGCCTGCGTGCCACTCCTGCAGCAGGATATAGACGAGCTTGGCGTCTTGTGGCCGGCAGGGCAACCTTCATCTCCAGTGAGTAGTAGGACATCTGTGCTGTTGGGCCCCACTGCTGAGGGCCCCAACAGCTGAAGGTGTTTGATGCTCTGGAGCGAGCATCATATCGTGTACTGTGGTGGTTAGTAACATGGTGCTTATCTGTACAATGTACGGCTGCCATCGCTGGCAGTATTGTATGTGATGGCTCCTGCTCTTACTCAAGACTCCCATCCAGAGTTGCTACTACCTTACCTCACCACTCCACCTTACACGCCATCACCACCATCGTCCCTGGTGGCCACTACCTCTTCTATCATAACTACCACTACATCATCCACTTCTCCGCTCCGATCAAGTTGCACGAACATGGAAGTTCCCCCTTTTGGGGGCCACGAACATCAACACAATTCTGCTGCTCCTTCTTCTCACACCAACACTCGTGATCCACACTCTGATCTCATCAACCTGAAAACTGTGCGTGAGGACTTGAAGATAAATTTTGAGGATCCCTCACGAACAGACCCTCGTTTGGTGACGGCAGAGCCCACGCCGCCCCACAGCACGGACTCGTCCGCTCCCCTCTCTCCTCTACCCTCAGAGAAGAGTCAGGCGCCTCTGTCACCTTTGCTCGGAGAAAAGCTTCGAGGGGTCGTCTCTCCTTTGGCGACAGACGCGACTCCAGCAGCGACGACATCTAACCACTACAACGCCACGAAGAGACTTCTGCGTGACTTCACGGAGGAAGAGGAGACGTCTTTCGGTTACAAGTTCCCTGTAGGTGAAGGCATTGCATCTCCGTCTTGTGCCAGCCAGTCTCCTCATTTGGGTCTTCTTTCGCCGAGCTCTCCGGACAAAGCAGGACCTCCTGAGGTGCCGCCATCTACTGCCGACCCCCAGAGCTTCTCTCCCGAGTTAGCGAGTCCAGAAGCACCCACGTTTTCAATTGTGGCGCCGAATACGTGCGCAGCCGTCACAGTAGCCGCTGCCACGGCAGTAGGAGCTGGTGTCGCTTCGGACACGCCAGTCGTAGCGACTGCAGGCTCGGCCCTGGTTGACTCCAACGTATCGTTTTCAGCGAACTCATCGCTGACCAAAATCGTGTTTCCGGCACCGACGTGCAGCGTTGGTGTATCCTTCTCTTTGGCTGAAAGTACTCAGACGCCATCAATGGGCTGCCGCGTTCCCCTTGTTGACACAAAGGTCGGGGTGCGGTGCTCTGCTCCTCAGCCCAATGATACGCCTCCCCCGGCCCAAGCAAGTCTCATTTCACCTGCAAAAATGGCTCCAACTCCTGGATTATTTGACGACGGACTCATCACCACACTGCCTGACGACTGCTACAGGACCATTCACCATCTGGTCTCGAGCAATCCTCAGCTCCTGGAGGAGCTGAATTGCCCTCCAAACAGCATTAGCTCCACAACCAGCAATACCTCGAGTATTATTGCGCCTGCTGGTGCTGCCATCAGCAGCAACAGCATTTCAAATGTGGTTGGTTCTTCCGTCTCGAGTTTGAACGACTCCAGTCAACTGCTGACCTCAAATTCTGTGTTATCTGAAGGCTCGGTGTTGCCGCTGTCCTCTGATCGGTGTAACCAGAGCCCTTTTATTGCCTTTTCCGGACAGGGAGTTTCAGGACCCTTGTCTGTACCTACCGTCACGCCGGTGACTTTACCAATGAGTCCGGAGTTGGAAGCATCAACGGTTCTATCCTCGTTGTCAGTGCGGCAACTAAGACTGCAAAAACGTCAAGCTCAGTTACTGAGAAGAGTGAGACGTTTGACAGGTCGTGGCTTAGCCTCGAGTGTGAGCACGCAATTGAATCAGCTCATTGCTCACGGCCGGCCGCTCTTGATGCCCCCCCACTCAACGAATCCTGTAGTGGCGGCATGTAGCGATGACGATGATACTGAAGTTAGCGCCAAGGCAGTCACTTCACCTCATGTTGATGCCGGGATCTCTGGTCCACTACCCCCACCGCGCTACGATGCAGCAGCGTTCAAAACCATGTCAACTGCCAACCTCATCTCGTATGTGCGTGAAATGGAAACCCGGTCTTTAGAGACCATCAAATCCTTATCCGTTAGTGATACTGCAACTAGTCAACTGCCTTCCCCCGGCGCCGTGAAAGCTGAGCCAGACGTGAAGAATGTGTGTTTATCTGAAAATTTGCGATACGAACTGCAAACTGTCTCCGGAGAGGTGAAGGTTGCGGCCAGGCTACACGTTGAACATGACTCTGACGCGACTGAGTCGTCTTCGGGCGGCGAATCTTGCGATGAACTCGACCAGGAATACGATTCTGATGTTCACACCGACACCAAGCCAATGTGAGTATTTTAATTTAATTTTTAATTTCAACAGTTCATTGGTAGTTTTATCATTTTGTGATAGTTTGTGTGTTATTACTATATTATCGTTCATAGCAAATGTATGTATTGACGCAAATTTATTCAAGAGGATTTTACGTACAGTCGAGTTCAATATATTAATCTGAGAAGGTTGTCGTATGATCCTGATTTATTCGGATTCGTGTTAGCTGTGGTGATATGTGTTGTATGATCTCTAGTTGTGCGCACACTTGGTTATAGATGATGTAGCGTGAGGAGAGGTGATGATGCTCTTATCTTGAGTTCTTATGTTTATCAGATATTCTCCCCCCCCCACCACCCGTCGCCAGTGTTCTGATACGAGTGGATATATCTAACTCGTCATAACATGACCAGTCAAGCATGTTCACTCACTGCTTTTATTATGTTATTCACGTCTCATGATGAACGTTATTGTTCCATGTTCACTCACTGTTATGTTATTCACGTCTTGTGATGAGCGTTATTGTTCCATGTTCACTCACTGTAATGTTACTCACGTCGTTATGAAGAGCATTATCTGTTAATGCGGTGCACGTAGCGTGCATTACGTACGTGAGTGCGGTGTGTGTAGCAGGGACACTTTCCCCTCAGCTGACCACAAATTAGGCTACGGCCGTCAAGCTAACTCGCCTATTCCTGCTACGTCCAATGCTACAATGTGCACATTTTTCTAATAATGATGTTGATGTTCATAAGTATGATCAATTGGAATTTATCGCATTTTTCACGGGAAAACACTATTAATCTTCTGCGCATCGTTTTATTGAAAGCAGCAAATCTTTTCTTTTGGTTATTATCAATCCTTATCTTGATTTTTCAACAATTTGTATGTGAGTCCATCTAACGTTATTCGATATGACCTGTAGTTAAGCTACGCGTTGCGGCTAACAATTCATAATTCCTCATGATTATGCGGAATGATCTGTCATATTGTTAGGTTCACGTGACGAGACGACTGCTAAGTCAATGTCCAGATGATGAATGCGCTGCTAGTGAGTATCTCCATGTAGCGCGTTGCAGCTCACTATTGTGTTGGGTAGACCTCCTTATTGTGAGGCTTTCTTTGTTCCCGTATCTTGGCTACTTGTATGAATCGAGGTCCCTCCTGTCTACTTTCCAACACGTTATTCTGTTGACAGGTACATGTTTTTTCCTCAATATATGTTCGCACAATTTTACCTCGATGTGTTTACCAGCGTGGAACCCATTGATTTCGCACAAGTTCTATGACAATTTTTTATAAATTCTTACGTATCCATGTTCTATCATTGAATGCTATTCAATGCTCTACGTGAGCAGCATAGTGAATAGTTCGCGCTATACGATAAACACCCTGAAGTTTGCGTGTATATTTTTTTCAGGCCTAAGTACATTTCGTCTATGATGGGACGCATCAAATAAGCTTGCATGCATACGGCCTAGAGAGGATATAACATCAGGTGCTGACATGTCACGAAATAAAGGATGCCTGAATTCATTTGTTAGGTCCATTTATTTCTCGGAAACTCTATGTATATAGTTGAAAGAGTTTTAAAATATTCGCCAAGTCTCTACTTACGCACGATTTGTTTATTTTTTTTTCTGAATCATGATCGAGGAATTTCTCATCACTTCATAACTCGGGACGACAGAGTACACTTGAGTTTTTCTGGGTATCGGTGTGTGCCGGTCGTTGCTAAGGAATAGGTCCTGAAACATGGCTACGCTCAATGAACTTATCCACATCGCAGCGTCTGAAGCTAAAAGTAACATGTAGGCAGTTCAATGTTTGTTTCAAGATATACACTTATATTTTGCACACTAGTATGTAATGTATCTTGGTATCAATGATGAACCTGCTTTGATCATTTCCTCCTAGTTAGCTCGTTTAACCTGAATCTTCTGTTAAAACACGAGTCTGATGCAAAATCTGTTAGCATGATAATTCATTATGTGAATTGCTGTTTTTATCTATCATCGTCGACATGAAAAATAGTCAAAAATGTCATAAAATTAATTAACCCAAAGCTGCTGAATTTGATATGGTTTTGTTACGGAGTTCTTTCTGCATGCAAGCAAATTGGCAAATAAATACGATTCAGGCTCGTAGGATGCGCTATAGGTCCTGGCGGCGTAAAGGAATATAACGACTAATTTGTTTTGAACAAACAGCGCGGCTAGTGAAATGAAATGAGATTTTCAGTTTTAATTTACATCGAGACTCGACTAAGCCTGTCTGACATTCTACGGTGAGAAGTTCTCTGATAACTTTTTGCTTTGAATTTTGTACGACTTTCTAATTTTCTACTCTCCGTGTGACTAGAATTTACCAATTTCGGCTCGCCGTGTGAGTGTGACTTGCTTCATGCCATTCGAGCTCGCCGTGTGACTTAAGTCGTGTCTTTTCTGTCCATCGTGTGACCAGAGTTCCACAATTTCTGTCCACCGTGTGACGAGAATACCACAACTTCTGTCCACCGTGTGATAAGAGTTCCACAAATTCTGTCCACCGTGTGACGAGAATACCACAACTTCTGTCCACCGTGTGATAAGAGTTCCACAAATTCTGTCCACTGTGTGACACGAGCGGCGCTATTTCTGACTGCTAGCCTGTGCATAATTTACAAACTGTGGAGCAAAATTTCTAGCACGACATTTAGCGCCTGTTTGCAACTCGCAGGATTTGATATCACTGCTCTTCAGAAATTAGGTTGTTGTTTTTTCAGCTGACAAATGAAGATGTGGCAGTATGAGAACTTACATTTCTTGACAAATTAATAGCTATGTAATTTAGATCAAGATACTAGATTGTGTATTTTATGATTGACTTCAGTTTTCGAAATCCCGATGCATAAATTGTTTCGTGCTTAGTATCATCAGACGAGGACACAATTCATGCTCCAAAACTGCGGGGAATGGGGGGTATTTTTGGAGGACTATTAATATCCTCTGCTAATTGATGAGCTTCTTATCTGCAGTGAGTTTGAAGTAAAGAAGTTCTACAGATGCGTTACAACTTACACAATGCAAACTGATCAAGTCAAAGCAGCATTAGTATGCTACGGGTGATTTTTATTTGTTGCTTATTTTGAACTGTTTCTCTTTCCATGCTTCTTGATTGTCATTAGATATAAACCACATTCTTATAGTTGATTTTCATTGCATGTAAGTTTATTATATATGTTCATTGTTCATATGGTTGTTTGCTTTCTGCGTCGTTACGTGGTTGATTTGAAAAGCTTGTTGAATGCTGTTCAACTCGGTCCTTAAAAAATCAATGTCTTCGAATTACTTTTACTTAATGAATGTAATTTGCCTATGTGATTGCCTTCAGTCAGTGTATTCAACAGTAATTGTTGGGACGAAGCCGTGGTAGTCAGTTTGTGGAAGAAATCCTAAGTCATCCCTTGTTAGGAACGCTTATTTACTGTTATCAATTTCACGGAACCTTGCTCGACAAATCAGGCGGTAGAATAAACATAAAAAAAGAGAGGAACCTGCAGCTGAACTTGTGGAGCAATGCATGCCGAACTGGTATAGTTGGTGTTATGATCTCCTGCTCGTAGATTTGGCACATCAGCAAAGCCATCACCATGACCACGAGTGGACGTTTGGCAACGTCGCACTAAAACCAGCTCCACCACCACACAAGCGGTGATGTGGCACATGAGCGCCGCACCACAGCAACAGTGGTGCTCCCCCTTCCTCCTCGCCCCTCCCTTTCCTCCTCTCTGTTCACAATCGATGATATAGTGTCAGAATTGTTCGTTGTAGCGCTCTCCATGTGTGCTTAGACATCGTTCAGAAATACAGTTCAACGGTCTGAATAACAGAAAGTATGTTTATTACACTATTGAATAATTAGGAATATTAAGTTGTGAATTTTTGCTTGCGACTGCGGAGTTCCTGGACGCAGCGCTGCTTGCTTGGCTTCCGTTAGCTTCAGTTGCCGTCTCTCTGAAGTTACGCGGTCTTCACCGCCTCGCTTTCTTGTGGTGTTAATTTGTGTTACGCGTGATGGCGGCGATGCTTCCATCGATGACACCTCATCGTCAGCGCTGCACTTCATTTATTATTTATTAGGCTTTGTTTAAATAGGGTAAGACTAGATCTCCTTACATAGTAAAAACCTAATTAGTGATTTTCTCTTAACGCGTATCTAAATTACACTGAAACTAGAGTGGTTTTGTATGAATTGTCCAGTTATTTCTTTTGCATTTCTGCAACTTTGAACTACACATAATGTGTATAATGTGATGCGTTTTTGTGGGTCTTAGATCTCGTATTCTGCTGACGTAGATTATTCTGTAATTTGCAGTGTAAGCAATTTAGTGATGATTGCGACCGTGTTTGTGATGATGCATCGCGTAGTCCACGTGTCTTTTGTCGTAGTCACCACATGTCTTTTGGCGACGGTGTCGCGTTGAATCACTCCGACGGTGGGTTGTTCTGATACACTCAACCATTTGTTTGCCTTTACCCACTCAGATAGTGGGTTACCTCGGCCCACTCAACCACTTGTTTGCCTTTACCCACTCAGATAGTGGGTTACCTCGGCCCACTCAACCACTTGTTTGCCTTTACTCACGCGATACGTAGGTTACGTAAACACTCTCAGGCCGTTTACCTTAACACCAAGCAGTGGGTCATCTTGACACACTTGGTTAGTGTGCCTCAACCCACTACGGCACTGGGTTGCATTCAATATCTTCATTAGGTCGTTTTATTACCTCACCCTTTTATTTATTTCAATATTCTACACACGCAGAATTATTTGAACCGTCATCAGTTCTTATTCCTTTGTTATCTGTTTTCTTCATTTTATTGCTCTCAATGCTGAAATCCTGTTACTCCAATGGCAGCTTAGTTTTGCTCAGTCAGCACTGCTGCTCCAGTATTTCCACAGCACTGCTGCACTAGCATTTCCACAGCACTGCTGCACTAGCATTGCCACGGCACTGCTGCACTAGCATTGCCAC